GTCACAGCAATGGAGAAACAAACTAGGACATGAGGGAATTCAAGTTTTCTGTTTTTCACCATTTAGAATAAAGTTACCCACAGCTGTTTTTGATAAAGTTTTTTTGCCGATTCCAGGAAGTTTTATTCTACTGTTGCTCAGTGATTATCACAAAAATTTAATTTCATCAAATATTTTACTCTGAGTCAACTTTCAGGATGGTAGATTGGACTGATTCATTTTCTATTGTGCTCCCAGTTTAAATTCTGTCTGAACAAGATAGATCATCTTTGTATATTGTGGATTTCCTTAAAATAATTTAAGAATCTTTACGTATATACATGTACATATGTACTCTTGTTTTTACCTATTATGTCTGGTTATTCATTTTGCTTGAATTCTCTTGTTCAGTCTTCCTCTTTACCAATACATAAAACTTTTCAATTATTTCCTGCTTTTAAGTTCTATGACTTCTGTTTTGATGTTTGTTATACTTTTATATTTCTTTGCATTTATTTTAAAACATTGAAGATATTTTTTTCAAACATCTTTAAGGTTATTTTAAGGTTCTTGTCATATTTCCAACTGGTGGTTTATCTAATTCATTAAGCTGATTATATTTTTCTCTTTCCAATTTGTATTTTCTTGGTTGACATAATTTTTATTGCATCATCACCAATATTTTTAACATGATAGAAAGATCCCATGTTCTTACCTTAAACTTTGTTAAAGTAGGAATTCACTATGCTTGATGCACAGGCTTGGGTTGGGGTTCAGTCAACAACATAAGGTCGAGAGGTTGTTTTCAGTATTCTTTCTAATTGATTGATCATTGTCACTGGAAATCCCACTGTTGTCTGGTGCCTTAAGAGATAGAAAATCTTTTCCAGATTGGCTTCCTGGTGTCACTTGTTAGGAAAGGGATGCTTTAACTAATGGTGACTCAGCATGTTTCCTGTCAGTTGGTGTGGAGGGAGCAGGATGACGGAGGTCTTGGTTATCCTCCCAGGCTCTTCCTGCAGGGTAGCATCCCTGGAGTGTCATGAGAACCCTGGCCAGGGTTGCTGGTGACACAATCCCTCTGAGTAAGGAAGGGGGTTCTCGGGCAACAGGGAAATTCCCATGAAAGAGATTATATTCTTAAGAATAATTTGTATATCCTTCTTTGTTTAACTACTTCTTCACTGATGATTCTTAATTCCCCCATGATTTCCATGAAAATTAAAATTTATGGCCGTGTTTGTAGGGTGCGCTCCAACCATACTGTACCTCCAACCTTTCATTGTTCAGCTCTTTAAAAATTTTATTTGTTAGTTTTATTTTATGTGTATGAATGTGTTGCCTGCATGTAAGTAGGTGTACCCATGTCATGCATTGCCCATGGAGATCAGAACGGGGTGTCAGATCCCCTGGAACAGGAGTTATTGACCACTTTTACCCACCATATGGACGCTGGGAATTGAACCCAGGTCCTTTGCAAGAACAGCCAAGGCCCTTAACCACTGAGCCATCTCTCCGGTCCCCATTCAGCTTTTTATCTAAGGTTTGAGTAAATTGCTAAGCTTTATAAGAATTAGTGTTCTGGTCCACACCTCCAAAATCATCTTCCTTACAGCTGAGAGTTTAGTACATTTTACAGTACAAAATAGATTCCCAATGAATTTTCATTAAATTAGTAGGTACAATAGCTTCAAGATTATGTTTGTCTTTCTGTGAGCTTTGTGATCTCATCTCTCATTTTTCCTGACTATAGCTCAAGGACACCTCCCTTACTATGCCGTGGAGGTTCACAGTGCATCTTATCAGAACACACGTCAGGGACACAAACATGAGAATTGTGGTGTGTGTGTGTGTGTGTGTGTGTGTGTGTGTGTGTGTATTTGAGCTCTGTTGTATAATTTACCCTTTTATCACTTGTGAAATATATCTGATCAGCAGGGGGAAACAAAAGATGGAGAAACCAATTAATAACCCCCCAGAGCTTGTAATTATTAAAAAGGATAAAAATCATGTTAGCAACATTATTTTTAATCTTGTTTATTTTCAGGTTCAAGTTCTTCGGAATGCTGGGGAGGAAGTGACCTTGACAGTGTCGTTTTTGAAAAGAGCACCTGCTTTCCTCAAACTCCCGCTGAACGAAGACTGTGCATGTAAGCATTTACAAAGAAGGGCTAAAAATAATCACACAACTCTTTTCTTTCTGAACTTCTTTGCTTTTCTGCCAGCAGATGGCATTTTCTTTTTAGATTTTCAAGGCCTGCCTACATATAAACATTTTTATATCATGGTTCTACTGATGTTTATGGAAAGGGAACGGGTTACATCTGCTTCAAGATGTGTTCACCATTACAGTTATTTCTTTCCTTAGTTGAAGTAGAATTTTCCCAATTGGCTTCATAAATATCCTGTCACATTGTGTGGTTATTAAATATCATTCATGATATTTATTGAGTGTATCTTATATAGTCAGAAAGTGACATGCTCTGTTGAGCAATAGTTTAACACTTCTGATAGTTAATGTCTATACTCAATATTTTTCCTAAAATGGAGACTATATTGTAACTTAAGTATATACACATTTCAGTGAAATGCAAAGCTTTTAAATGCACAATTTGATCAATTGTGAGCAGGAAAACATTTGTAATGCATGCTCTTTCTAATCATAAAACATTTCCTAAGTTACTCTTCCAATTAAATTATAACCACAGATGTGACATAGTGCTATAATTAAACTGTCATTGTTATGTGCTATTTTGCCTCTCCTAAAACAATAAAATAGAACCATACTATCTTTAATTTTTATGTATGATATTTATTATCAGTAATTTCTTGTAGATTATCCTGTGCTTTATATTGCAGTGCATCATTATATTACTTTGTAATATCCCATTGTATGGACTGGTGTTTATTAATGCATAATCCTGACACAAATACCAGATATGTTTCCAGTACTTTGCTATTATAAACATCATTATATTACTTTGTAATATCCCATTGTATGAATAGACTGGTGTTTATTAATGCATAATCCTGCCACAAATACCAGATATGTTTCCAGTACTTTGCTATTATAAATAAAGCAGCTACAAATGTTCATTCCTGGGGCTTTGGCAGCACTACAATTTTATTTCAATACAATAAATACCTACACTGGAAATTGCTGAGTGACAGGGTTGATGAATAATTAACATGTTAATAAATTGCCAAGCATGTTTCCAAAGTTGGCATATTTTCTACTGTAGTAAATACTCATATGATAAGTTCTGCAATCTTAAGTATTTTAAGGATACACTAGTGTTGATACACTAGTGCACAATGATTGCTATGGATCTCTCCATGTAGTTTGTTGTGCAAAACAGAAACTGTGTCCTTTATACAACATTGTTATTTCCCCTTCCTCCATCCCTTAGCAAACAGTATTGTCTTTGTGTTTATGAGACTTTTGTTAATTTAAATACCTCATACAGGTGAATAAGCCAGGAACAGTCTTTTTGTGATGGTCTGTTTTATTTCTCATGATATTCTAAATATTTCCATATTGTAGAACATCATGGAATGTGGCTATGAAATATACAATAAGTTATTACTAACTATATTCACCTAATGTCCTCCTGCCTTTGTTTTTGTGTCATTAACCACTGTTCTTTTTCCTCTCCCTGTCTTCCCAGTCTCTCACAACAGTGCTCCACATACTTCTTAGTCTTCCATATGTCTTTGGGGACAAGTGTCTGCTCAGATCATTTCTCATTATTTGGAAAAAGTTTTGTTTCTGTTGAGTTGCTTACTTGCTAATATATTGTGAAGCGTAAGTCCTTTTCAGGACATAATTTATTTCTAAGACTGAGTAAAACCTTTGCTTTATTTCAGCTTTCATCAACTAATGGGTGATTGAATGGGGCTTGTCTATTGTCAACCATTCTGCAGCCTTAGCTGTGCATAAACATCGCTGAGGTGCTGCTTTCAGTTGTTGGCATGTGCACCCAGACGTGGAGTTGTTGGATCCTGTGAGAGTATCTGTGTGATGTCCTGAAGAGTGATTATGGTGCTTTCCGTAGGAGAAGAGCCGTTTTACATTCCCAACAACACTAGCATCCAGTTTCTGCATCTCCTGGGCAATACTTGCTTTGGCCATTACTTGTCTTTAAGTTTTGTTTTTGTTCTGGTGATCCTGATGATTGTGTACTGACACTGAATTTGATTTGATCTTTCCTAAGGATCATTGATAGTCAGCATTTTTTTGCATATGTTTGTTTTCCATTTGAATCCCATTATGTAAAAATGTCTATTCAAGTACTTTGTTAATTTTATTTTTCAATAGCATCTATTGACTTATTTTTATTTTATGTGTGTGTTATACCTGCATGTATGTAAGTTTCCCCCTCTCATGTAGCACCTATAGAGGCCAGAAGGAGTGAGATACCCCAGAAGTGGAGTTATAGACAGTTGTTAGCCACCATCTTGGAGCTGGGTTTTGAACCTAGGTCGTCTGCAAGAGCAACCAGTGCTCTTAAATGCTGAGCCATCTCTCCACCCCTTATTTTATTTGTTTATTATTAATTAATTAATTTATTTATTTTATATCTACTGGAGACCCCTGGAGTAGCCTGACTGGAACCATCTGTTTCCTATAATATAAAATGAAAAAAGAGAACCTGAAGCCTAGACCAACCAGCTTCCATATCTGATGAGAAAGCAACCAAGTTACATCAATAATACAAACAGAATCAGTCTTCAGCTTAACAAGGAAGGCTTGAGTTTCATACCAGAATCACAAGAAACAAAAAAAAAATCCACATGCCAAAACCACAATGAAAAAATAATAGGAAAAACCAAAATAATATGTCCCCACCAACCACCATTCCTATAGAAGAGTTCTACAATGAGAAATCCCTAGAGGTATCCCAGCACAGAGAATTTAAAAGAACAATCACAGTGCTGGAGAGATGGATCAGCAGATAAGGGCACTGGCTACTATTGCAGAGGATGCAGGTTCAATTCCCAGCACCTACGTGGCAGCTAACAACCATTCATAATTCCAGTTCCAGGGAGACTCCAACTCCTTCTTCTCTCCTCCTTGGACATCGTCTGACCTGGGTACACTTAACATCCATGCAGGCAATACACTCATACACATAAAATAAAAATAAATAAATAAAAGAACAATCATAAATGACCAAAGAATTCAACTAATTTAAAAACACACAACTCAAAGAACTAAAAGAGACTAGGGATAAACTTCTGACGGAGTTCATAAAAGAGAGAAATATTTAAGAAAACTCAGACTGAAATGAAGAAGGAAGTGAAAAATTCAGTAAGCCAATTTGAAACAACAGCAGAAAGCCTCACTGCTAGAATGAATGAAATGGAAAACAGAATATCACAAATATACAAAAAAATTGAAAAATTGGATCATTCAAGAAAAGAATAAAAAAAAAGTTTAAAAACAATGAAATGTGCAGGACACCATGAGAAGACCAATTTTACACATCATAGGCACAGAGGAAGGAGAAAGTTTCCAAATAAATGGTGTTGGAAAGATCTTCAAAAGAATTATAGAAGAAAATTTCCCCAAATTAAGGAAAGACATACCCATACCAGTACATGAAGCACACAGAACTCCAAATATACGGGAAAAAATCTCCATGGCATATCATAGTAAAAACATTAAATGTACAGAACAAAAAATGAATACTGAAAGTTTCAAGAGAAAAAACTACAAGTCACATATACAGGAAAATAAATCCGAATTACAGCTGACTTTTCAATGCAAACTATGAAAGCCAGAGTAGCCTGGACCCAAGTATTCCAAGTTGTAAATGACTATAGGTGCCAACCCAGAATACTTTACCCAGAAAAACTGTCTATTCGAGTTGAAGGGAAAGGAAAAAATCTTCCATGACATGAATAGGCTGAAAGAATTCATGTATACAAATGGAACTCTTCAGATAATACTCAAAGCAATAAAAAAAAAAAAACTGAAGAAAGGAACAACTATACCCAAGAAGCAACAGGAATAAACTAAGTAAGCTATAACTATGGAAATGCAAAATTAGACCAACAAGGCAAAGAGTAATTAAAATGACAGTAACCAGTAAACAACTTAAATAATAGTTTTAAATAATGGCCTGGACACCACAGACAGAAGACATCAGGTTCGTTGAACGGATTAAGAAACAAAATCAATCTTTGTTTTCTGCAAGAAACTCATCTATCCATAAAGGACAGGTGCTACCTTAGGGTGAAAGGATGGAAAAAATATTCCAAGCAAATGACACTAAGAAGAAAGCAGGGGTTGCAATTCTAATATATGACAAAATAGACTTCAAACTAAAACTAATCAAAAGAGATAACTAGGGTCACTTCATTCTGATTGATGGAAAAAACTGACCAATATATTATAATCATAGATGCACCAAACTCTCGTGCACCCAATTTTTTAAAAGCAGTACTACATAATTTTAAGACACAGATTAACCCCAACTCAGTAGGAACCATCAATATCCCACTATTTCCAATACACAGGTCAACTGGAAAAAGAATAAACAGTGGGTAATCTGAACTAGAAGATATCATACATCAAATGAACTTATCAAACATCTATTGAATATTCCACCCAACCATCATGGCAGTTTTTCTAGAATTGACCACATATTGGGGCACAAGACAAACCTCAAAAAAAAAAAAAAAAAAAAAAAACAAGAAAAAAAAAGAAATAATTCCATGAATTCAGAACACAATGCAATAAAGCTTAAAATTAACACCCAAAGAGGCTATAGTAACTTCACAACTTGTGGAGGTTAAATGAAACACTCCTTAATTAATGGATCAAAGATGAAATTAAGGAAAAAATAAAAGTATTCCTGGAACTAAATGAAAGGAATAATAAAACACAGCAAAACCTTTGGGACAGTATAAAACAGATCTAATAGGGAAGTTTATACCTTTAAGTGCCTATATTAAAAAATCAAAAAGAGCACAAAGAAATGACTTAGCATTGCAACTCACGACTCTAGAATGTCAAGAACAAATGAAACCCAAACCCAGCAGATGAGATGAAATAACAAAACTAAGAGCAGAAATTAATGAAATAGAAACAAAGATACCAATAAAAAGAATCAATGAATCTAAGATCTCATTCTTTGGAAAGATA